CCCCCCCACGACCCTCTCCCCCATCGAGGCCGCCTCCCCCACCGAGGAGCTGCGGCAGGCAGCGGAGATGGAGGAGCTGCATCGCTCCTCCTGCTCCGAGTACTCGCCCTCCATCGACTCCGAGGCCGAAAGCTTCGATGCCGTGGCCTCCAAGCTGTACAAGTCGGGCAGCGAGTACAACCTGCCCACCTTCATGTCGCTGTACTCCCCGACAGAGAAGGCGGAGAGCGGCCCCAGCCAGCCCGCCAGCAAGCCCCTCAAGAGCGCCGAGGAAGCTTACGAAGAGATGATGAGGAAGGCAGAGATGATGCAGAAGCAGCAGGTCCAGCAGGCCCAGCCGGCCGCTTCCTACAGCGGCACCTACCAGCAGGTGGGCTACCGCGGCACCGAGGGCCAAAACGGCTTCGAGTACCAGTACGCCGAGGAATACCGGTACGATGGAAGCCCTGCACGCCCCTCCCAGCCCAGCTATCCCAGCACCCTGCCGAAGGCGGGAGCAGTGTATGAGGAGATCCTGCAGACCTCCCAGAGCATCTCCAGGATGCACCAGTCCTCCTCCTTCGACCTGGCCCTCGAGGAGGGGGAAAAGGCAAAGGTTCAGGAAGAGCCATACCAAGAGAAGCACTTTCTCAATGCTGAGAGCGCTTACGCCGACCTGATGAAGCAGAACGGCGGTCCGCTCACCCCCGGCACCAGCCCCACGCAGCTCTCCGCTCCAGTTTCTTTTTCCACCTCCGACGGCAGCGCAGGCAAGGCCATTCCCGACGTCCGGGTCACTCAGCATTTTGCGAAAGAGGGACAAGACTTAGCCAAGCTCCAGAGCGCCCCGACAGCTCCCATCCCGGTGTCCAAGGCCGCCACCGCACCTTACACCTACGGCAAAGGTGCCACCGCGGTGACGACAGCAGCAGGCGGCCCCGGGAGCGCTCCCCGGAGCTACAGCTCCCCAGCTCCGGAGGCCCCATCCATAGCCGGCAGAAGCTACAGTCCGGTGAAGAGCACCGTCAGCTATGGCTCGCAGACAGAGGACACCGGCAGAAGCAAGGCGGTGGCGGAGATCAGTGTGCAGACAGCCAGGGAGAAGCTCCCGGCCGCAAGCGACAGCAAGCCCTCGCCACCCAAGACGTACACCTTCTTCAAGAGCTCCAGCCCTCCGCTCTCGCCCACCTCCCCCACACAGAGTCCCACCCGCGCCACAAAGGCCACGGCAGAGTTTTCCACGCAGACGCAGAGCCCCCTCCTCCCCTACGAGGGTCCCACCGCCACCGCTGCCGCCGGCCCTGCCGCCTCTTCCCCCATGGTGGCGCAGGGGACGCAGACGCCGCACCGGGCGGGCTCACCGCGCCTGGCCCGGCAGCCCTCCTCGCAGGACTCCCCCTTCATGCTGATCACGCTGGGCGGCCGACCG